ATCCACTTCAGTTTTCACGTTCCTTGCTTTCCTACGGGCAACTATGTTTGCGTACGTTAACTGTCTTCAGGGAAAGTTGATCAAACTTAATATGCTTGATGCCAGCGAGGCAACCGATGAAAGGGAAACCGTGTTCCCGTGCATCTGAGCAAGGAAATTGCAACTATTGTCAATTTTTGTATCGTAGATTTCATCGTGATCGTTATTGTATTATTATAGGAGTTTGACATCCGGTGAGTGTTTATGGGAATTTAAATTTTCATGTTATCGATAAGAAGATGAAATCATGTATAAAAATTTATAAATAAACTTGGTAATTAGCAATTAAAATCTCTTACGTTTTGTCAGAAATTATAAAAATGATTCATCAAAAATTGTTCCGAAGGGATATGCATAAGACCAGTGGGAAGAAGTCTTGCAAATATAAGATTGAAAATAAATAATAATTTTCAGTTTTATTCCAATATTTTTCCTTATATACAAAAGAAAAAGGGTGCGTTTATCTTGTTCGTATTTTAATTGTCTCTTTTCGGAAACGATAATGATAACAGTCGAAGAAACAGGAAAGTATAGAAAATATGTATATTTAAGTTATATGTAAATGAAGAATTGAAATTATCTAAAATGGTTTTATACCTAATTCCACGAACATTACAAATAAATTGAATAAGACGTTTATAAACAACACATTGACTTGATATCGGGGAATCGAAGAAGTTCCTTTTAAAAATATACTAATAGTAATATTTGACGCAATTTCGAACTGCAAGATCTTGAAATGTGAATCAAAATAAGAGCAACCGTCTACATTAATTCATCTATTGAATTTATGAAAGAAACGAAATTCAAATGAAATTTATTACATTACATCTGTCTCATGAAAATAATTCGTGAGATAGATGAACATCGATTCTCTTGATTCTTCGATCCTTGTATTTTCTGTTATATCAACCTGAATTTTTTCAAACAGTAGTAGTACCCCATTATTTTTTTTATTATATTGTAACCACACTAAAGGGATGAATCCAATGAACCGTGATTAAGTAAGTGATTCTAAACCTAGCTCCGTAGTATGAGTTTAAACTTGTGGTCGTTTATATCTCCACGTTTTTTTTTTTTTTTTTCAAATGTTATC